TCAACCTGTTGGCGGAGGGGGGGGGGGGGGAAATAGCTCAGTGATTTGAGCATTGGCCTGCTAAACCCAGGGTTGTGAGTTCAATCCTTGAGGGGGCCATTTAGGGATCTGGGGCAAAAATCTGTCTGGGGATTGGTCCTGCTTTGAGCAGGGGGTTGGACTAGATATCTCCTGAGGTCCCTTCCAACCCTGATAGTCTATGATCACTACCCGTTGAGCCTGACAATCTAGCTGGCTTTCTATCCATCTTACAGTCCATTCATCCAATCCAGACTTCTTTAACTTGGTGGCAAGAATACTGTGGGAGACCGTATCAAAAGCTTTGCTAAAGTCAAGATATATCACATCCACCACTTTCCCCATATCCACAGAGCCAGTTATCTCATCACAGAAGGCAATCAGGTTAGTCAGGCATGACTTGCCCTTTGATTAACTCCCTCACTAAGTCAATTTCTGGACCTAGGGTAAATTTTTTTCAGAAGCTCTTAGGTGACTTAGGAGCTTTTGAAAAATGTGAGCCCTGTTCTTTACTGAACATTCTCCCGCGTTGATCTCACACTAACAAAGTTCTTGCTTTCTGACCAATTCATTTTTTGCCTCCTGAGCTTCCAATCAAACTTTCCATGACCATCAAACTCATCAGCACTCCTGAGATCTCTGCAGCTGTCGGCTGCCTCCCCCCTCCCCTCTGCTCTGTTGCTTCCAGAGCAGTAGCTCTGCTGTCGTTAAGGTGGAGAATTGCTTACTGTTTAAAATATGACTATTCTAGGTGCTCTAAAATGCACATCTGGCTCTAAAATCTGCAGACTCAGATTATCCTGAAATTTCCTGTGCCTCATGGGAGTGTGGGGTGGGCAGGGCTAGTGGGCCAAAATTGGAGTTCTTTGAGAAAGAGGCTCTTGAGATACAGCCCCCTTTTAAGAAACCATGTGTTTAGAAAATTACCGGGTTCTGAAGAGGGGTTTTTGGCTCACACCTGGGGCTCAGACAGTTGCTTTAATCCTCCCCAAATTGATCTCATCCACTCGGGAATTAGCTCAGGTAGTGCACGGCTTGCACTGCTCCTTTGAGGGAGTGGTATTTCCAACGCTGTTGAGGGTTAAGTTTGTAATTCCAACCCAGTTTGAGCTGAACTGACACACTAAAGACGGTGAAGTGCACATGTGCCACAAGACTGGTGCTCTTTTGCAGACTTATGTCACAGTGATGGGGTGACTCGAGGGGGCATGCGGTGGCCCCTTAACCTGAGCAGCCTCCATGGCCTATGATTTTGAGTCCTAACCTTGGCAGCTTTTTGAGACTGTTGTGCATGTCGTTATGTCTCTGCCTGCGTTCATTAGAAACTTCTTTAGGAAGTTTTTCCCTGAGACCGAAACGTATGGTTTAAGAGCCAATATTTCAGAGTTCTCTAAAATCCACATGCCGACTCTGATTCTACTTAAGATGTGTTGTCAAGGAAATTAGCCTTAATTTAACAGAGAACGGACTCTTGTAAGCAGTTAGGGTAATATAATCACAACTCACGTTCCTCACCTGTTGCTTGAACATTGTGACTGAATGGGATCAAAGGAAAGCAAGTCACTGGGTTACTTCATCAAGGGAAGCTCTAGAGAGCTGGAAAAGCTACTGTTGCACCGTTATTTTAAAAGGGTAAATGAGATGACATGAATTATTATAGACTGAAGAGCTTAACATCAGTCCTGGGCAAAATCATGGAAAGGTTAACATGGAATAGAATCCGTAAAAAGATGGTATCTCAGCTAGTGCAAATTAACATGGGTTTTATGGAAAACTAATCTTGTCAAGCAAATTTGGTATTTTTTATGAGATTACAAGTTTCATTGATAAAGGTAAATGTGTTGTGTAGTTAGACTTCTGAAAGGCATTTGACTTAGTCCAAATGACATCCTGCTCTAAAAAAAGTATCACTATACAAGATAAATGTAGCCCATATTATATGGATTAAAAACTAATTAAATGAGAGATTTCAAAAAGTAATTATAAATAGGAAATCATTATCTAGTAGGTGTGGTTTTAGTGTGGCCCAGCAGGGATCTGTTCTCGGCCCAATGTTGTTCAACATTTTCATCAGTGATATGGAAGAAAATAGAAAATCAATGCTGGTAAAACTTGCAGATAACACACACATTGGTGGAGTGGTAAATAATGATGTGGACAGGTCAGTTATAAAGACTGCTCCAGATTGCTTGTAAATGGGACTCATTTGAGCAACATGCATTTTAACAGAGCCAAATGGAAGATGAGATATCTAGGTGGGTCACACTGATAAGATGAGAGATGGTCTCCTGAAAGTCAGTGACACTGAAAAGGACTTGGGGCTGATGGTAACCAGCTGAACATGAGCTCCCAGTGTGATGGTGTAGCTAAAAGAGCAAATGCGATTCTAGGATGCCTACGCAGGAGGATATTGCGTAGTAGGCAGGTGGCATTACCCCTCACGTGGCACCAGTGAGACTGTTACTGGTTTCAGCACTTCAAAAAAGATGTTGAAAAATAGAATGAGTTCAGAAAAGAGCTATAAGACTGATTCAAGAGATGGAAAATCTGCCTGAGAGTGAGACACTTGAGGATCTTAATCTACTTAGTTTATCCAAGAGAAGGTTAAGAGGTGACTTGATCATGGTCAAAAAGACATCTTTAAACATTGGCAGTCAGATCCTGCTGAGGCAAATAGAAAGGAGCAGAAATCCTGGCACTGCAAGTGCAAAGGTACAGTCAGGCAGCCCAGAAAGAATTGGAAGAGCAACTAGCAAAAGACACACAAACTAACGGCAATTATTTTTTTTAATACATTACATGTAGGAAG